AACACGGCCTCAGCAGGAAGGAGCTTGTACTGTGTGGTCCCGTTTTTCCTGGGAGGGAGAAGTGGGGCTGGGAATGTTCTGGATGTGTCCAGCCTTTCCCTTAATGCAGCCAAAATCCCACCCCGAGCCTCCCAGTCCCTGCGAGGGCCCTTCCCAATCCTCCCTTATCCCGGCACTCACAGGCTGAAGAAAAGCTTCTCGTTGATTCCCGACACGCAGGAAGCCACGGACAACATGAGGATGGTGGAGCCAAAGAAAACATGGATGGGCTTGTACAGCTGCCGGAGCCAGGCGGGAGCCCAGGGAAGCAGGAACGTTCCAAATCCTGCCGCCCACTGCGGGAAAACTCAGTGAGGGCAGGAAAACTCGGGATGCCGGGGGGAGCTTGGGGGATCCGGGAGTGCTCCCACCTGGCAGGAGAAGAGCAGGACGGTTCCCAGCCCCATCCAGCTGTGCAGGGAGTACATGTTGGGCGTCCCGTTGGAATTGTGGAAGCGGAACACGGCCGCTAACCCCAGCACGGTGAGGACGAACGCTCCCAAAGCCAGGCCGCCGTGCAGCAGCTTCCAGGGAAGCTTGGGGCCGCTCCAGGTGTTGGGAAGGCGGTAAACCAGGGCAGCTGTGAGGGGAAAAAAGGTCAGGAAGGGGCGGCGCTGGGATTCCCGGCACTCCCTGGGCTCACCTGCTCCGTAGAGAACCACCAAGCCCGTCACCATCAGCACCGGGTGCCAGTTGAAAGTCCGGGATCCGCCATCCAGGGAAAAGCCCCCGCGCCAGTGCTGGCACCAGGCGCTCACCAGGGCCACGCAGAGCAAGCCCAGGGATCCCAGGAAGGCGCAGAAAGGCGGGAAGGGAATGTCCAGCATGGCCAAGGAGCGCTGGTGGCACCTGGGGACGAGCGAGGAGCCGGCTCAGGGTCCGGAGCTGCTCCGGGGAGGAGCCACGGAAAGGGGAACTGGGAACCCTGAGGGGGCGGGGGGGGGCACAGGGAACCGAGAGGAGGGGGGGGCCTGGACTGGGAAGGGTGACAAGGATGGAGCTGCTTCCCAGGCCAGGAAAGGTGACAGGGACGGAGCTGCTTCCCAGCCAGGGTTGGTGGCCGCATTCCAGCTGCTTCCCAGCCCTGGGAAGGAGGTCAGGGATGGATGGGCGGGTGGATGGATGGACACCCCCCAGGGAGGAGCCACAGAAAGGAGAAGCAGGAACCCTGAGGGGGGTGAGCAGGCCCAGCTGCTCCCTGGGCTGGGAAGGAGGTCAGGCACGGATCCAGGGGGGTTGGTGGTGGCACCTGGGGACGGCTCCGGCAGAGGAGCCGCAGAAAGGGGAACTGAGAATCTCGAGGGGGTGTTGGGGGTCCAGCTGCTCCCTGGACTGGCACGGATCCAGGGATGGAGCAGGACGTGCAGAGCCGAGTTCCCAGGGAATGGCAGCGAGGGGCTCCCAGGGTCACTTGTTCCTGTGTGTGTGTGTGTGTGTGTGTGTGTGTGTGTGTGTGTGTGTGTGTGTGTGTGTG